CCCCCCCCCCCAAAAAAAAAGGCGACATCAAGAGCTGAGAACCCTCAGGAGCACGAACATCGTCTCTCGGCTGCCGGGTGGGATTTCATTACAGAATGTCCGTCTTAGTTCGGCCCAGGAGTGTTCAGATCCTGAACTTCCAGTCCTGTCCCCAGTCTGGCCCCACACAGCTCCAAGTTTCCCGGGAGTACGCCCCTTAAAAACGGGAGTAATAGCACATTCCCGCAAAGGAGAGTCTCCCGCCGCGAAACTCCAGCATTCAGTGCTGTGTTTGACTAGCAATTACCCTGAGAAGCCGAGATGCCGAAAACATCGAAAACTTACATTGTCCATGAGACGGAATTTTATTTTTTTGGTCTTCTGAGTTTTGTCTGATGACCCCATGTGGAGATGACACTGCACCTCATGACCGAAGGAACGGGTGCTCAGGAAGCGTGCGTGTATCGTGCAAGAAACTCTCCTCGAAGCTTGACTCTGGTGTATCTGTAACTAAGCCGCACTGAACGCTCATTACGCGTCTCCCTAACAGCACCTCCATGGCCGCCTCGGAATTTAAGGAGACCTCTTATGGATGAATATCAGGATCCTTTTTTTTTTTAAAAAAAAAAGTATATATATTTTATTGATTTTTTTTCTTAGAGAGAGAGAGAGAAGCATTGATGTTTTGATCAGCTGCCTCCTGCATGCCCGATACTGAGAATCAAGCCCACAATTTGAGGAGTCTGCGAACTTAGTGGGGTTTCTTTTGTTTGTTTGAAGGAATCACTTTTTTTATGTTTTTGTTTTTTGGTTTTTTTAAATTGATTTCAGAGAGAGGAAGGGAGAGGGAGAGAGGGAGAAACATCAATGATGAGAGTCATGGATCAGCTGCCTCCCGCTCGCCCCCTGCTGGGGATCGAGGAGCCTGCACCCCGGCGTGTGCCCTGACCAGGAATCGAACCACAATCTCTTGGTTTATAGGTTGATGCTCAACCGCTGAGNCGTGTGCCCTGACCGGGAATCGAACCACAATCTCTTGGTTTATAGGTTGATGCTCAACCGCTGAGCCACGCTGGCCGGGCTAGAAACTTGGTGTTTTGCACGTCTTCAGTGAGGATGGATTTTGTCCCAACTTCGTTTTGTGTTTCGACGTCACCCAAGTGCTCACTGCCTCTCCTCCTTTTCGTCAGAGGGTGAATTCATCCAGTCTGGGGCCCTCTGACTATCTAGTTTCCCGTCTCATTGTTACTGACAACTCACTTTATAATACTCAACTTTATATCTTCATTGGAACTAGGAAATGAATTTAATCTCACACGTTCCAAAAAAAAAAAAAAAA